CACGCACGCACGCACGCACGCACGCACGCACGCACGCACGCACGCACACACGCACGCACGCACGCACACACACACACACGCACACACACACACACACACACAACCACATATTGCACCCAAATTCACGAGAGAAATAAATGTAGGTCATATACATATATATTTCTCGCGGCTCGGGAATCGAACCCGGCACCTCTGCTCGACAGTCCAGCATGGTGACCGTTCGGCCACGGAGGCAGTTAATAATCCATTATACATACGTCCCATTGCTGGATACGGGTCTTTTCTAAGGTTTAGGCTTTAGTCCGTCAAGTTGCCCCAACGGGCCCATGTTGTTAATTCACACACTTTCTTAAAGTTTGTAAATGGTTGCGATATGCAGGTTTCATCACATTGTTTAGGTACACCGTTAGCGTATGTAACTTAGAAATTTAAATCATATGTACATGCCGCTACAAACATTCGGACTGTCAACCTTTGAATTGAGACGCAAACCAACTCCCACTACGATACCACCGCTTGCACATCTAATTCTAATCAATTTTTTTAAATGGAATGTTGGACTTCACAAAAATAATTAAAGTGTAGGTAAACAAAGAAAATTAAATATTTACAGTATCCTCGCGACGATGACCGTCTAAGCTGCGGAACATTGACTCCATCTCATCAAGTAGACTTTGACTGAAGTCGACTGTACTTTTCTGTAAATAATAAACACAAATAATACCAAGATATAGATACAGTAAATGAACAGCCTGGTCGACTACGACTATCTTAGGCTGTGACGGTGTGAGATCCTTGCATCGTCATTCCACCTTATTATCGCCTTTCTCCACTCGTACCGTATCGTTTTTCTTTCACGATCGAGCAGAGTAACGTTGGAACGATACAAAATCAGAGTGTGAGCAAAGAAATGGAACAATTCAAAATTTGAATTTAAATACAAGTGAAAGAAAAACGATAAGATACGAGTGGAGAAAGGTGATAAAAAGGTGGCATGACGATGCATGGAGGTCACACCGTCACAAGGTCCTTATTAATAAACCCATCACAAATGCAACATTAACACGGAAGAGCTTACTTAAATCAACTATATAATAAATATCACTTTGTGTGCACAGTGTACTCATTGATCAAAAATTGATGTTAATAAACCTCACTCAAAACATAAATTACGTAAAACTCAAATATATCTTTTTTTAACGCGTAGACACTCATAGCCCTGCAATAGGAAAACCCTGTATCGCGGTTGCCATGGACCACACATAGACAACCACACATCACACCCAAACTCGCGAAGGAAATAAATGTAGGCCATACAAATGTTTCTCTAGGCCTTGGAATGTAACTCGGGACCTCTGTGTGGCAAACCAACATGGTAAACGTTTAGCCACGGAAGCAGTTACTATCTTTATTTCATAGGTAAGCAAACTATACTTGAAATCCGTCCGAAATTACGTGCGTCCTCTGATTAGAATGAGTAAAGAACTCTAGGGAGATGCTTTTTGTAAATATACATTTGTAAACAAACATTCATCATTTACAATATTCATTTCAAATATCGAAAATATATAAAACATAAATATTTATTTAAAATCATTTTCTAGATCGAAACAACCTGCAAGAGTCAAACGGGTTAGTACCAAGGATTTTTGTGATCCAAGTACGCAGAAGTTGCATAATTAGTTAACTTTCAGTCATTTACCTACCAACAAATGGACGTCGAGTCTAATACAAAAACCACGAAAAAATGTCCGAAGTTAACCTATACAAACGTAGTGACATGTAACGAAATATAAAAAACTAAAACATTTAATTTAAATTGTAAGGTAATTGCAGTACTGTAGAATTTTGCTTGTAATAATTTAAGGGCTCAAAAACACCATATTCAGCTTCTACTGGAAACTTAACAAAATGCATCATATTTAGCTTCGACTGAAAATTACTTGAACACAAGAGTAATGGAGTATGTAGAATTTTGTACAAATTTACTTAAAGAAATAATAAAGAGTTGGGCAGATACATGTATACAAATATTACTACAAATGTAAAAATAAGCGACTACTATAAGAAATGTACTGATATTCCAACAAACGTAAACTCAAATATCCGTAATTCCGAAAACCGATTTATAATAAAACTTTCGAGTAATTTTGATGCTTTTCACAAAAACAAAATTAGCTTTTGTTTTGTAATCTTCCTAAAAAAATACATTTTACATTATGAAAATGCGATCTAATGTTATGTGGGGCAAATGTATTTTCTGACTTCTGATAGAAAATCCCAAGCGGTAAAACGAGTATAACAATATTTTGTTAGTTATTGCTAACGTTTGATAAAAAAATCATTTTAAAAATAAGATTAAAATCAAAGCGACTCTATAATTTCTTTGTTCTAAATATTTCAATAGCTTGTGGTTCGAACATTTTTTTTTTTTTAAATCTTTATTTATTTATGAGGGTTTTATCTGTGTAGATATGTCACCCTCATAGGTGCGATTCCACTACCACCACAAACAAGAGTGTAAGGCGTTAAGCCTTACACTCTTGTTATGGCGGTTTTAATCATATTGAACAGCATTCTGGCATCCTTACATAAAGGAGCGGCCAAAATGCTGTTGCACATGCCTACCGAGTATGAATTCAAATTTGGAATGTGTTGCCTAATAATTTCACTACTACTACACTCCATTATTGCATGGTAAACGTCTTCCAATTTTCCACACGTCTCGCAGTCCGGTGAAGGCACCTTTTTCATTAAATACCCGAACTTATTTAAAGGTACGTGTCCCGAGCGAAGCCTCAGTGCCGTGACAACTTCACGCCTGCTCATTTTGGCATCGACAAACCATGGTATGCCAGGGAGATTGGGTTGTATGGTTTTATACCATATTCCCTTGGTTAACGATCTTACGTCAAAGTGGGCTTTCAAAGAGCTATAACAACGTTCCTTATTTAAGTACATCAGATCCCTAAAATACGGCACACAAGAGTATGTATCGCCCTCACATGTTGCTTCTCTGGCCCACTTATCCGCAATCTCATTCCCGTTTATTCCTATATGGGAGGGCACCCATTGCAACACAATCTCCCTGGCACCACTGCGTAATTGGCATATCAGACCGAGGATCTCGTATGCGACAGGACATCCACGAAAGCTTGGCCTAGAACATCGCGCTAAATGTTGAAGGGAACTTCTGGAGTCCGTCAAAATAACACATTTATTAAATTCCACGGAACTGAGATAAGACAAGGCTTCAAGGATAGCTATAAGCTCAGCGTTCATTATGGACATTTTTGTCGTAATTTTGAGTTTCATATGGTATTTATTCTGTGGATCGTAAAAGGCCACACCCATTCCATAGTCGTTTTTCGAAGCATCCGTATAAATTGTATAGAATTTACAGTACCATTCTGACATATATTTTTCATATATGATTTTTAAAGTGTATACATTGTGTATTCTTTTCGCGCCGCTTATTGTAGGAATAAAAGGTCTTAATAATTCTGTCAAATCCATATTGCTGACCCACGTGGGTAAAGAAAACATCTCTATTACACTGCCTTGTCGTATGGGGTGGTCATTTAATGTTGCATGCACCGACACCAAAAGTGGCTTCCTTTTCCTTCTCCAGTATGCAAATTGACAGAGTTCAGTCAGGCGGCTTATTAGTTTTATCGACGAGTTGTTTTTGAGCGACTTACATTTCAACCAGAACTTTCCCCCCAAATAGAGTCGTCGAGTATTTAGTGGAGGCAAGCATAGCTCGTTTTCCATAACATGTATTGGTGTACTTTTAATGAAACCTCCGATTACTCGCAAGTATTGGTTCTGAATCCTGTCAAGTTGCATCAATTGAGAGTTACTGCCACTATCGTAGAGGAAACTAGCATAATCTAACCTACTCCTGACAAGGGCAATATACAGGCGTCTTAGGTGTTTCGGGTGCACTCCCCAGCCCGGGCCTGCTAAAACTTTAAATATATTTGTGAATTTTTCGACTTTCTGTTTAGTTTCCCTTATGTGCCTACCCCATCTCAAAGTCCGATCCAACCAAAGACCCAGATACTTCACACTATCAACCATTTCCAATTGTCGCCCGTTTACTACTAAATGTGCTGAATCTCTTCTAAAACTATTACTAAATATACAGACCTTACTTTTATTTGCCGATATATCCAGTCCTATAACGCTTAGTAATTTTGAAAATTTATTTAGAGCCAACTGTAAAGCCAAACTACCTTCTCTAATGTGTTGGTAAGTCAAATACAGGGCAAAGTCGTCGGCATATTGGGATACGTATACGTTATTTATATCCTTACAAATGTGTATAGTAGCCATGTTAAATAAAAGTGGGGATAAGGGATCTCCCTGCGCTAGGCCTCGCGCGGTATTGCGTGTAATATATTTATCAGCTACTTTTATTTTAAGTTGTCGAGAATGGAGAAAAGTCCACAAGTACTTACACACCCTTGCACCTACTCCAAATCTATCAATGATATGCAAAAGACATGTTATATCAACATTATTATATGCGTTATCCAGATCCAAAAAGGCGGCAATACTGGAGTTCTTATTTGAAAAGCCAATCTGAATTGTCGTAATAAAATTAGTTAAATTGTCTAAACTGGATCTATCTTTTCTAAACCCTGTGGTATTGTCGGAGAAATATTTTTTTGATTCTAGATACCACTCTAGTCTGTTGTTCAGCATACTATGGAATACTTTACACATACATGACATCATGGAAATAGGTCTTAAACTTGAGACAGATGTTGGGTCTCTACCTGGTTTGGGTATTGGTATAACATTTATGTCACGCCATTGTAGCGGTACAAAACTGTGCGTATAAAATATATTGTAAATATGTAGCAACAAAGATTTAGCATTATCTGGCAAATTATTAATCATGGAGTACGATATATTATCAATTCCGGGCGCGGTATCCTTGACTCGAAAACATACTATTAACTCTGACATGGTGAATTCTCTTTCTAATTGCCGGTTGCAAGATGAAAATAAGGGCTGTTTCGGGCTAGCAAAGTCGGGGGTGAGACTGGTTAGGAGTTCTGTAGCTTTGTTGGTATCAATATAATTATTTAGATTTCTGTAGCCTTTTAACCATCGCATTTTCCTCCACATTTCACTGGCAGATGTAACCTCATCAAAAGAAGAACAAAATGTCTGCCAGCTTTTGCTACTAGCCTGTCTAATCGCTTTTTGTGTCTCATCTATTTTAGTCTGCAATATTTCCAGATTTTGTGGGGTAGGGTTCCTTCTAAATTTAGATAAGGCTAGTCTCCGTTCCGCAACCAACCTTGACAGGTCTGCAGACCAATATGGCTTAGGAGAAAACTTTCCTGTTGGGTTTTGATTAATTTTGATAAAAGGTATGTGAAGGTCAGCCGCTAAAGTAATAAAATCTACAAAAGTATCGTATGCCTTTTGTAGGTCATTGGGAAGTTTAATTTTTGAGTAAATCTCTTTTAAGCAAGATTTATAGGCAATATATTTTCAAATGCAATAAGTTTAGGTCTGATGCTTCGAAAGTTCCACTGGCAGAAATTTAAATCAATAGAAATTACCTTTTTACGATCCATTGAAGCCTGTTATAGATTCCACAATTCCCTTCAACATTGGCCAGTCTGACAGATTGTTTACTACTACTAATATTAACCACTCTACAAACACACTAATAATTTGTTTCACTTTGAGCTGCAAGTTACACTTTTTGAGAAAAATAATGTCACTAATTCTGGATAAAAGCTCATTGAACTCCACTCCTCTTTCTGGCTGTTCCTGCTTCCTTGGTTCCTTTTTTCCACAGTCAGTCAGTTCATCTGCCGAACCATACACGGGGAGTGACCACATATCCCATTCATTTTCCGGTTTTGACTGGTTTTTCTTCTTCGGTATATTCGCGTTTTTGCTTGTACGAAGCGTTGGTTTTCTGTAACAGTTAGGTGGATTTTCGATAGTAGCTGTGGTTGTAACTATCTCAGCATATGATCTAGATTGAGAGGTGTTTTGTGGGTATGTTATTCCAGTGTTATTCTGGTCTTCGTTTGCAGATAAAGTTTCATAAGTTTTCTTTGTAATTGTTATCTCCTCACGTGGTACATAGGCCAGCAGAGCCTTTCTATAAGTACAGTTGTAATCAGACATTAATCGCGAATCGTTTTTTCTTTTACATATGCCGGACATATTTTATCCAACGCCATATGATTACCACCACAGTTTACGCATTTAAATGTCTTAGTGTCACAATTGGCGTGATTATTCCCACACTTAGGGCAAATAATTTTCTGATAGGGGCATCTTTTCGTGGAGTGGCCCAGTCGCCAACAACGCGCGCATTGTGAAACAGGAAAAACGTAGCGATCGACATGAATTTTTAAGTTTGCGACATACACATAAGGTGGTAAATATGATCCTTGGAAACATAATCTGACTGTTTCACTAGGTATCCAACCGTTTTCTTTAATCCTATCTCGTCGTTGTAAACGTTGAACCGAGATGAGTTTTGTTGAGTTAGGGCAATGTATTTCCTTTAAAATGTCTTCTTCGGAAAGGTCCAGATCTACAGATTTAATGATACCGTAAGATAGGTTGACATTCATTGAGTCTTGTAATTTAAACCCCTGTACATCAAAATACTTGCACGAGTATAATTTCTCCAAACCCTCTTCATTTTCAAAATCAATTCGAGCTCTGTATGGAGATAAATACTTTACTCGCGAAATGTGGTTTATATTATATTCCTTAAATATTTTGGCTAAAGCAAATTGCTTTGGTAGCTTCTCTTTATTTGATATGTACACCTGTTTTGTTTCGGTTTTTCCTTTTTTAGTTTTCTGTACGGTTGTCCATTCATTATCTGTTTCTTCCTCCCTATCCGTTTTTGTAGCCCTCATATTATTCGTACATTTCTCTTCTTCTATTTGCATGTCGTCTCTATTCACATCCTCAGATGAATAACTAAGGCTCCTTCCAAACGTTCCCTCTGTTTTGTCGTTCTCATCATTTCCCTCGTACATCGCTATTGCTCACCGAACGGCGTACGCGGCGGCCGCCGGCCGCGCCTACCCGTATTATTCTCGTTTATTGTCAAATCTCACACGATACCTCCCTCGCAACGTAAACAATATCCGAAGAGATACTACGTCTACCTCGCACGCGTGCCGGAGCGAAACTGGTTCGAACAATTGGAAATGACCAAGAAGTTTACATAAGCTTCTTGAAATTGACGTAATGGGGCTCGTTCCATCTTTTGCTCATGCAATGTGTAGAAAAAGGACAGTTAGCTATTTGATTATTTTGCGTGCTTTTGTAACGTATATTTACGATACATTTGTATGTAAATTAAATACTATAAAACTAAATAACATTTTTAAATGAGAACTATGATAATACAATATATTTGTTTAGAGAAAATATGATACAAAATCCTGTTTTTACACTTTACTGAAGTAATTATTACAAGTTATTATTACATTGGTACTGCATGATTGACAACCGCGCTGTCAGTCGAACAAACGAAGACTGTTACGCGATTGATGCTCTGTATGCGATTTTAACACCCTATAGGTGCGGACACTTTTTAGCGCGAACTCAACGTCCATTCATTGGTAGGTCAATGCTTTCAGTATAAAGTTTTTGTTTCGCTATAGTTTAAAACCTAGTAAATAGATTTGTTTTATATCAACCGGAATTTTAATAATGCACACATTGCACCTTAAATGAATTCGTGACTTCGTTACTGTCAAGAACAACCAGTTTATTCTAAATACGTCCCACACGCAAAATAAGCGCCTTGACGTCGAGTTGCGGACACCAGCCCGTTACACCAAGTACCAAGTACGTCTGGGTCACTTGAAATGGTATCATCATGTTCGAAATAGGTTACCGGAAAGTGGGCGAAACCGGATTCATTCCCTAGTTTGCCATACTTAGTGGTGGAATATTTTCTTCAAATTTAAATGGGATTAATACTGAGGTACGCTCTTTCCAACAAAAAAGAAACATCAACATCGGTTCACAAATACGAGTCGCAGTAATCGCATAACATACAACCTCCTATATATGTACACACAAATAAAAATAATAATACAAGTGAATTGCAAACCACCTCCATTTTTGAAGTCGGTTAAAAACAGAAAAAAATTACAAAATGAAACAAGTGAAGGGTAATAAAGAAAATTAATTGAATAAAGTTTATAAAAATATGTGATGTCTTACCGGTATGCCTGGACTTTCAGGAAGAGCCAAGGATTCAACTTTCATGTTCTCAGTTGCAGTGCTTTCCTGTTGCAAAATTTGTACTATGAAAGTTATTGTGTTATGCAGAATAAATAAAACAAACAGAAAGAGGATGTGAAATTTTTAAAACTATGGCTGCAATGACATAACTTCACGTCACTTTACGTCCTGAAAAGGACTTAAATCCCTGACGTCATGGGAAAATTTTCTTAAATCAATACGAAAAGGGTTCAAATTTTACTTTATATTCATGAATACATCTAATATTCAGCTACTAGTTTTATTAAAGTATATTTTCCTCTTTTTTTACTTTGCTTGTTAGTTACCGTGTCGGTATCGGAAATTTCGTGATACTCGTGCACTTCATATGTCTTGGCGATCGCTCCGAGATTTTCTGTTTTATGCCCTCGTCCTAGTGTTGCACTCTTAACCTAAAATTATAACACAAACAAAAATAATTATTTATACAACAATCGAATACTCAGCAAAAATTCCTTCGATCCGGATAATTATAACAAACCAGTGGAATAATTTCACGACAAAATTTAATATCATGGCAGTGATATCTTGACTTTCAATAAACTTAATTAAAATATCTTAATCTTAATTGATACTTCAGTAGAGCGTAGGTCTATATAATTAGAAATAGAATAAAAAGCATTTATTACAACGGCACAGTACACATAAAAAAAGTATAAACAAAAATGAAAGTATATACAACATGCCAAACATTTTAAACAAAAAAAAGTCGTTGTAAAACCAAATACAGAGACACGACAACAAGTACATAGAAAAAATCGAAGGGTCCGCTGGTTCGTTTCGTGGCTTAGTTCGTGACGTTGGTTCGAATCCGGCCGGGTCGAAGGGTTTTTTTTTCTAAGTGGTAGAGATCATTGTATTAATAATTATAAAAAACAGATGACTTGAAATTACACAGTAATGTTGAGTGTAACACAGCCAAGTTAACACATTGGCCATTATATAATATTTGTCATTAAAACCAGTCAGTTCAAGAGATATTATCACAAAACATTTTTTTTTAATTAAGATTGAATTATACAAAAATAATGCGTGACCAACCCACATCACACCACAATTTTTAATATATATATCAAAAAGAAGCTAACACGGGCACTATAGTGAAAAATACAGACTAATTATAAACAAAAAGTTAGATCGTGATCGAGACAGTGCAACTTGGATGCTGCCTTAGAAAAAAAAAACTGAATGAAACCAATATACATATTCTCGTTTATAAAATAAAGTATTATGTATAAATAAAAATAATTACGTTATTCGCAAGATTCATTCAATATTTTTTTTTAAATTTTGGATTTGTATTTTCTTAATTCGACAATTATGAGTTACGACAGTATTTCATTTCATGTGCGATATAATGTATCGATCTACTAGGCGTTTTGTTGCGTACTGAAAAGCGTTACACGTGTCAAGTGTCACACAATGTCATAATTGCATAAAACTATAAAGTATAACAAAAAGTGGAGAGTCGTCTTACACGGCCGAGACCACATGAAGATAGACACTTAAGACTTAAACTGTATGCAACTTGCCTGAAGACCGTGGTTTGCTCATGGTAACTTATACATTCTAGAGAACCTAAGAACTCGACATACACATTTTAGTTATGATGAAAAATTACATCATTGTATCGTCCGGTTGGCATTCTCTTATTTTCTTAAAGATTCAATACGTTATGTTTTATAAACTAAAACCTTACCTTATTTAGTAAACTTTTGCCTGTAGATGGTTCCAATTTATGACAGGATTTCTTTAGACTTTTCGTTCTTAACTCAGGAACTGTGAAATATAATTACCGTTCACAGTTATTATCACTTCGCTCTTTAATAATAAAAGTGCTTCAAATAAAAACAATGAGAATCTCAAAATATTCTTTATAAGTACATAAATACTATTGAGTGTTTTTTTAATGCTACGGCAACAAACATTTACTGCAAACACTGGGTGAGAAGATGAACAGGAGTTTCATCCGATTCGTGTCGGAATCTATACTCTCTATTCTCTCTCTGCCCAATATTTGACATGTGCTTGTTCAAGCCACAAAACCCTGTTAAGACTTTAGTGAGTATTAATATGCCGTTCCTATCCATTAACAGAACTTCTCTACAATTGACTTACTGCTTTTACTTATTGCTTATTGAATACACTGTAGGCAGCTTTCAGGGCTTTTGAATGCTCAAGACCCTTGCACTGTAGCCAAACTTCTCGGGAGAGATGTGTGCTCTCATTTAGCAGAGTGAGCTTTGAAAGGTTGTATCCCTATGAAGAGTTCGGGTCCAATAAAGGTTTCTCTAGCACCAGTCTTTGCCAGTTCATCCGCTGACAGATCTGACAGTTGGTAATGTACTACGCAAAATAAAGTGTGAACAACGTGTTTAAACTAAAGAGCGGCACGTGGCCATAGTAGGTCGCCGCGTGCGCAGTTACACCGAAGAGCTTATGAGATCATACACTTAGAATAATGTACTTGGCTATTATTCTTAATATTATTTGAAAAACATAATTAAATTGAAAAAAGCTCAATACAAAAGACTGTATTCCAAAAAGTCTATAAAGTCATCATCTGTAAACCAACTAGTCGTCGAGACAATTCCATCAGCCCTAAACCAATAATTCTGCTGTAAATAGTTGAGGGCTTGGGTAGTTTGCAAGCTGTCCCGGTTGCAGCATCAGATCAAGGTTAGAATTTATTATAGTAATGTCATTGGATTTCCATAGTGTACTAAATTTAAAGTGAATTGGACTAGTGCAGGATTTCGTTACCCTGCACTAGTCCTAATCTTAATCTTTTTCTAGTCATGGACCCTCTCAATATTTCAGAGTCCACGGACCCTTTAAGAAATGGCTCACGGGTTGCATTGACGCGCGTCTCGCTCGCTCGTCTCTCGAGTGCGAAAGTTCAAATAGGTCACGCCCACAATACCTATTTAACCACAACATATTTGTAAGAACCATTTTTTATATAATGCATTTTGGGGTTCAAGGACCACAGATTAAGAAACCCTGGTCTAGAAGTAATATAAATATTCATTTTATGATTGTGATCGCTACACTAACTGGGAAAAGAGCTGATGAGCTTAAAACAGCTGAACAAATGTTCATCAAAGATACCTCGACTAAAGTAACTTTCCAATAAAAAAAACGGCTTCGAGATCAGTCCATTCACAAACAGGTATTGAGACACATAGATACACAAAGGTTTCAAAGTTGTAACTCCCTTCTTTTTACATCTGGGGTGAATGGCCTTTGATATCACAAAAAAGAAAGTCGACAAAGCAGAGATTTAAATAAACTTACAATTCAAATCGACTTCATCGCGCTCACTCTTACATTCCAGCCGATGGTTGGAGGATGTCAACAACGGATAGGGCGAGATTCCACCCGCGCCCGTCAGGTGCGACGGGGAGTTTGGATTGATCAACGGAACCTGCTCCAGGTCCTCCGAAGGCTTGTACGGCGTCACGATCTGTCGTGGTGGCTGTTATAAACGCAATATCATTATAAGATATTACCAACTACACAATAAATCTAATGTACCATAATATCAGTAAAGTTATTGTTTTTCTTGAATTTTACGTACCAATAACCCTATGCCCAATCATTCGTAAAAAAACACATACCAAGAAACCACAAGCGGTACTTACGCATCCCGCTGGATCCAGAAAAGATATATCGCCAAAGTAAGCTCCATCCAGTCCAACATGACCCGTGTGTTTAACGTCGCCTTGAGGGCTAGAGATCATGCTTCGTTGGATGGTTCTTTTACCCGTGTAAGTGTGGCGCTTCAAGTCAGATCGCAGAAGAGTTGAGCGGATGGAACGCGAGGAGTTGCGAGCAAGATGCGGCGTCAGAGACACCGGCATGGAATACAGTGATTTCTGGATTGAAGACAAGAGATGATTTTGTTGAGGGGTTAATTGATGAGCATTAAGGCTAGGCATTAGAATACCACCAACGTGAGATTTAGTTATGTATAAAGGAAACACGATTATTTAGATTTGATTGACCTCGTAAGGCCCCATGTACATAAAAATGTACATAATATGCGAAGTGATTCAAACCCAGACCCAGAGTGATTCTAACCTAATATCGCATTAATATTTTACGCTATACACTCTATATGACCATAAGGTATCTATAAAATTTGTTTAGGCTTGAAGCATATAATTATATTTCGTACATTTTAATATACATTGGGCGTTTAGCGATTTTCCAATTGTAGCTTGCTAGGTCTTAAGAGGTTAGATTTAGCAAAAGAAGGATGTAACACAAATTTACACCAAAAAAAAAAACACACGAATTCGTGAATTATAACCGAAAATGAAATCACTTACGTCAGTCTTGCTATATGGTTTGGTAAAAGTAGGATCGAACATGCCGCAAGCTCCGCCGGGAAGTACGCCGTACCATAACGTTGATTTAGTCATGATTCTAGAGCGAAGAAAATATTAACATAAGCGAAGAAAAGTCGTATATTAAATTTAGCATACAAGTGGAAAAAAATACCACTTCGGGAATGGATACAATATGGTTCACAGATTTTTTTCTAACTTCATCGGTCATAGATACATTATTAAAGAGGCTTTGTAATTATAACATAAAGGAATAGAGTTTTTCTCAATAAATCATTGACTTACAATTATATGGACGTCGGGTCCGCGCTAAAAAGTGTCCGCACTTGTAAGGCGCTAAAATCGTATACAGAGCGCGACACTCCGCTTTAGTCTTTATTTGTTCTACGGACAGCGCGATACTGCGATGACATAGCAATTTAAATTTCGAATAGGTTGACTTGGGACATTTTTTTCGTGGTTTTTGTATTAGACCCGTCGTCCATTTATTTGTAAGTCAATGCAATAAATGCAAGAAAATAAAATATATTTACAAAAAGTTACAACAAAACGGAAAAGCGTATAGGTAACTCTTAAACTTTTTTTTAACAGAATAGTAATAGCAGGCGCACGATTAATAAGCCACACTGCCAGATATTAGATCTCAATTTTTCTTCAATCAAAACTTACCTTGTATCAAATGATATCAATTACATTTAAACTAAAAAATATTTCTTTAAAACAATAAAAAACAGACACGCATTGCTCTGAGAAAGCGAGCGGAGGACTTGGCTGTACGGCATTTTTCTTTAGACACTGCGATGTCCTATGGAATATTTGAATATTTAGCTGTTTCCATCGCCGAACGGTTACCATGCTGGTCTGCCACGCAGAGGTCCCGGGTTCGATTCCTGGGCCGAGAGAAATGTTTGTATGGCCTACATTATTTCTCTCATGAGTTTGTGTGTAATTTGTGGTTGCCTATGATCATGTCCACGGCACTTGCGATACAGGGTTTCCCTGGTGCGAGGCTATGAACACTCGTACATACGTACGTTATTATTATTATTTAAAAGTTTAATTTGGCTGTAAAAATTGATTTTCATACAGATTACTCGGCACTACGCCGTCGGGAAGTAATATAATTTTGTACTAAAAACTAGGCTCCAGTGTGTTCATTGTTCAAAGAAAAGCAACATTTCCGAGCAAGTTAGAGAAAAATAATTTAATTATTTATATTTTACTATCCCAGAATAAGGTGGAAGCGGTACTTCAAGTCTCGTTTAAAGAGTTCTGCTCTTTTCAACACACTCCCATATACATGTTGGTTACAATGTTTCTTATATCATTAAATAACGTTATAATCTAACCATGTTTCCAGAAAAGTCAGTCGCCATGCCACCAAGAAATTTGCGCGCTACCATGGTTTCTCATCGCATTGCGTTTATTTATTGAAATACAAATTAAATTATTAAGTAGTACTTACTCTTTTCCTATCACAGTAATTATTTGTCCTGATTTGAATTCAAGGAAATTTGCTCTTCTCCCGTCTTCCAGATTCTGAAAATCATCCGTTGCTTGGACCTGTAATCAAACGCTGTTTTTATCCAAACACTTTATGAATGTTGAGTTTTCGATTAATCAAGATAATTGTATAGTTTAAAGATAATTTCTTTGAATGTGTCGTACGAGGTACAATTTTTATTGTAAATTATTATTACAATAATTTTACCTGTTCTGGTCTGATTTCGCGCAATTTCAGACCGAGGTCTTTGAATTTAGGACGTTCATTAGGATCGTGGGACCAGCATTGCAGCATGGTAGAGTAATATTCTTCGGGACAACACTCCGGGCGTTCCAGTCTCTGAAAACAGTTACGAACATTTGAAGCGTTCTTTTTACCATCAGTCAATAGATATTTATAAAAGGGGAAACATTTAATTTGAATCCTAAAATGATGACTTTTAAGTTCATTATAAATTCGAAGAAATTAATTGTTATAAATATTGCTTAACTGGCGTATCTCTTAGAGTTGGTAAAGTTACAAGGCTGAGCTTCACAGCGAGAATAAATGCGCTAGCTACGTACTCATCTTATATAGAATACACGCACGTAAGTACAAACGCTTACAGGTCTTGCTCAAGTTTGCTTCGTGGGTAAGCTCGACCGTATCGCCAGATGATTAGACATTATAGAATTACGTATTTCCACATGGTACAATCTTAGAACAGTTCTTTAATTCGTTTTCACGGTTTATATCTTTTACTACAAACAAGTGTTTAATACAAATTCAAACCTGAAAATTGGGGGCATCTATAGCTTCTAAGATCTGCTGTCCGGAGAAAGCTGCCCATGGTTGGAATCCGTAAGTAAACATTTCCCACAGGCAAACGCCGAAAGCCCACACGTCACTCGATGACGTAAAGCGTAAATACAAAATGCATTCCGGTGCGCACCTGATAATTACATTTGACAAGGTGATTAAAAAAAAATGCACGACGCGACGTTCCAACCCATCGAAAATGTATGAAACGAAATAAGCTTACAGTTAGCGTGCTCTTGCATTTTCATTCATGAATACTTAATGTTGATAATATCAATCAATTATAGTTTCCCATCACAACGTAACGTAATTACCCAGTATACTATAAGAGGTATTAGTTTATTCAGTCATCCCAAGTGCCTGGCAGAGAGTGATATTTAGCAATAAAGCCGCGTTGGTTCGTCTTGTTCTTCTTTTTGCTTATTGGCGGTGCCCCTTTAGGATTTCGCCAGTACCGAGTTTTCCGCTTAGTTATTATGAATATTATGGTAAAAATAATGTAAAAACTATGGCGATCACTGCCAATGGCTAGTTTGGTCTCGAGTGCCGAGAAGTGTATTTGTAGGTATTGCATGAGCTAGCTGCTTTTGGTTTTAGTGTCTCTAACTATGCCTTATGCATCTCGTCTTCTAACCCTAGTGTTTTTTTTAATGGGACAGTATGGGGAAATCCGAAACCATAGAAAATACAAGGAAACTATCTTAGGAACCATTAAATTTTTTTTGTGGAAACATTTTTGGCATAATCAATTTTTTGATCAAGTGTGAGTTGTCCATAAAAATGAATAAAATTGATCAAATTTTTTTTTAGTGCTGATCCACTCAGTTTTATGTAAGAAGTTTATTATATTGTATATATATGAGATGAAAACAATCGGGACAGCAGAAGCTGGTCAAATTTCATAAAATGTTCCTCATACAATATGAAGAAAATGACTATTTTTTTATGCTGATAGAGTCGGCTTTCTCACAAGGATGATTTCATTGTACGGTACGAAAAAATCGAGGTAGCAGAAGTTGGTCAAATTTAATTAAATTATTTTTCAAGCTGTAGATATCTAAGACAGTTTTCGTGCATCTTCTACATGGTTTCACATTTTTCCATTAAAAACTGTATTAAGAACGCGCATGACCGCGTCCTATCTGTACATCACTGTAAAGATGATTTGGATACAGTTAAACATAGCAACTTAACAACGTTGAGCTATTTCGACGCTGACGTCACCGGGGTCTATGGACATTTCCTAAAGTTTCAATAGACACATGCCAAGTACGATTAGCAGCCAACCAAAAAAAAATATATTTGTCAGTCGCTAATTTAGCCTACGAACATTTAGACGACTACCTATTTTCTTTTAGACCTTTCTGATTTAATATTCATGACACGACAATGAAAAAATCTTTCACAAATTTATGCTAATGCAGAGTTGTCAGATTGTGTAGGCGAAATAGTTATCGCAAATACAACGCTCACCAATCGCCATGACCCGGTTCCCATATCGTATCATATAGCGTCTACTAAACGTAGCTATCAATGGTAAATGATGTCAGTCACTTTCTCTCCATAATGCATCTGGATCAACCTTTCCTTAAGTAAGAATGAATCAAGCCGACTCTCACACATACTTTGCATTTTCAAAACTTATAATTAAAGCAATAAATAAATGATGCAGGCCATCAACTTTTACTTGCATTTCTACAGTCAGAAATATTTTTTATTCAATTTCAACAAATTCATTTTATTGAATATCGTGATGTTTTTACTACATTTTTGTGAAAATACTTCACTGGTTTTTTATTATTATTGATTCAAACTAGGGATGCCGCAGATGTAGGTTATGACGACATTTGCAAATGCGGGCGCAGACTCGAAATTTTTATCGTTGAAATCTGCAGATGCGGATGATTGAATTTTGTTTTTCAGAAAGATTTGAAGTCATTGAAGTTTGAGTCATTGAGTTATTATTAATTTAAGTAAAAGATAATAATTTCTACATAATTTTATAATAAAAGAGACGAAAGATAGAAGGCATAGACAGATAATGGCGTTTATTAATACTTAAAAGTTTTTAAAGATCTCGTGGACCGTACTAATCTAATAATAATTTTTGTTTAGAAAACAAATAGCTCGTTGCCTGCACTACAGGCTGCCGAGTATTAGTGCTAATTAGCCAATCAGGGATATAGACCCTGTAATTAGCACTAGTACTCGGCACGAGCTTTAAGTAGGGCCTGCACCCGACGATCTTGCGTGACCTGCTAAACATCCGTATCCGTAAAAACTGATTGATTCGAATGTCAGATGCGGATGAAGATATTTAAAAATATGCGGATGATCCGGTAGCGGTAGCGGATGCGAATGCAGACGTCTGCGACATCGCTAATTCAGCACAAAGAAAAATTACTTCGATCCGGCTGGTTTTGAACCAGTATCCGTTGCCTCACCGTGGCAACAGTCACTGGTTCTAGTCCAGATTGATACTAAATCAATAATAATAATAGAGTCAAGTAATTATGTTACATGTTTTGTTCTACTTCGGTAATCGAAGTGCAAGAATAGTAAACTGGACCACATGCAACGAGATACCTTCGCGATACTAACCAAGCCACAGGTAATTTGAGATTCACGTTGTAGTTTGTTTGATAGTAATCTTTTCCAACACCAAGCGCTCGCGACAGTCCGAAGTCAGAAATTTTTACTCTGTCCTTACTAAATACTAAAATATTTCTTGCAGCTAAGTCTCTGAAATGCAATAAATACAGCATAAGTACTTTATGCGCCCTGTTCCTAGTAGTTGATTTGACAGGCCTTTCTATCACACCACCTAATAGACTTTTGAAGTTTAATAGTGAATAAACTGCTTCAGGAACTGTTAAAGAACTACTAGCAAAAATCATTTTTTAACCGACTTCAAAAGACGAGGAGGTTCTCGCCTCACTACCTCAGTACCTCAGTAGTGGTCCCATTTAAATTTGAAGAAAATATTCCACCTCTAAAGGTGGCAAACTAAGAGATGAATCCGGTTACGAGCACTTTCCGATAACCGATTTCAATAAAACTTGGCAAAGAGATGTAATTCCACGAACTTTTGAGGTCGGTATTTTTAGTACTCTGTACTGAGATTATTACAAATTAGAAAAACATAAAATAGATGAAGTTATGCATAAATGATTTTTCATTGGTTTTCCACTACACCAATCTCTTTAATGTTAATTGTAAGGACTAACCCACACTGAATGCATTGTAAACCTCAGTAACATAGTTACACACAAGTACCTATAATATTCCAAATTGTTGAAAGGTGTATCATTATAATACAATCTGTTTTTGTAGTGTTTTATATTAGTTTCATTATCGTCTTACCTATGAATCAGTCTTTTGTTTTCCAAGTAAGTCATGCCTTCACAAATCTGTTCGGCGAACTCGCACAGATTTGGCACAGGAAAACTAGTTCGCAGCTGTATTTCGCGAAGGCACTCTAGCAAGGACCGTAATGGCGCTAGTTCTGTCACCTAAAACATCGTTACAAATAGTCATGTAAACCAATGTAATTAAGTCCTTGTACAGTGCCACCATTATGAATACCAAGTTATGCGTACATACATAGGTGCATATTTAATTACAAGCCTAGAGATTATGTTAAAAAGCACCCTGGAGAGTCGCCAGAATTGAATATGACAAAATTTTTTATGAATTTAATCTTACCATTACCTAATTAGAAACGGCTGCAACTAGAAAACTATAAGACTAGGTAGTTTATATCAATTTCCAGTATTGTATAGGTAACTTAATATTGCAATGCATTACCTTAGAGCTTAACGATTATCTTCAACCAGTTAGTTATCTACTAAAACGAAGCGGAAAAAGGCAGCCTTGTACTTCACCTTTATTTTGACTCAACAGTGTAGGGATGAACACACTTAACACAGAACACACTTTTTTATTCTATTTATGAAGATAAATAGCCGTACACTACACGTATTTTTTATAAAAAGTTTTAAAATAATCTATAGTGTGAACATTTTCCTTTTAATGTACAACATTTCTGCTAATGGTTCGAATTTATAAACATCAGTTATAGTGTTTTTAATTTAAATAAAATATTTTTAGAACGCGATCACAACGATTCTCATGCAAACTAAAATATCTTAAAATTCCCCACGTATTTTTTTTTAAGTTCTACTAGCATATGTCGCCGTTCCGTCAATGCGTCAATATCTATAATAATTAATATATATCTAAAGCTAGGAGGGAACGAAGAGAGATCATTCTCGTTACTTTTTATTCTCTGTAAAAGTGGTAAAAGATCGGTTATCTACTGTATTTACCGACAATTGATGAATGATGACGCACCTATGAATGTGCACTATATTGCTTTTCTTCAATTGAAAAGAAACTTATTTGCTTACCAACATTAAAGAGTCCAAATGCAAAACTACTCCATATAATCGCACAATATTAGGATGTTCTATACTGTGCATGACAGCTGCCTCTTTTAGAAACTCTGTAGAGTTTGAGGTCATTCTTTCATGACCAAGGCACTTGATGGCGACTTGCAACTGTAACAACAGTTTTAGATGAATATCAAATCAAATTAAATGAGTTAGATCAGCGGCTTCCAATCTCTCCAGCTACGCACATCTCGGGCAACAATTTCGATTATCCCATAATAAAAAAGTAATGAAAGTTAGTAAAAGTAGTTAAAAAGTAAAGTAATGAAGCTTTAATATTTATTTTTATTTATCTGTAGATTTTTACGGACTTGCACTTGGGGAAAAAACTGCAAAATGAGGTAAAGAAAGTTACACCTAGGATAAACTTGAACCAGACAAACCAGTAAACATAGTGTTAAAGATCTGTGCGTTTACCAAACCAAAACCAAAGATACCTATATCTAAAGTCTACAACTTGCGATATGAAGCGACTTGTGTTTGAAACATAAATTAATGTGAAAACAATAGAAAGTGCACATTGGAACAAGATTGACTGTTATCCATTTTTTTATCAAATGTTATAGTTAGTTTGTAGGCTCATATAATTTCTGTAACAAGATCCGAGAGAAATAATAACACAAAGCTTAAAATAAAATTACGAAGGCGAAAATTGTATCACCGACCTTATCATAAACGAAAGAAACTGAAACATGTGTCCACTACGGGGACACAAAACGATTATACTACAATACAGATTGCATTACATAGCATTGTCTTACAATAATAATTACATTACTTTCACGAGTAAATCGATTAATTTATATTTAAAAAAGAATACCATAAAGAGGTTAACAATAAGTTTTCGCCTGTTTTTTTTTTAACTCATTTTGATGACAATAACCAGTGAGCATAAAGTATTATACTTTCATATTATATCATTATATCATCGACAATAGCAATATTTGCCGTAGTTGTAAACGACTTTACAGATATCTCCGTTATTATTCTTTAAGATGACAAATTCAAGATGACTTTAGTCATACATTATGATTTCATACTTTGATAATGATAATATGCTCACTTCGCTACTGAACACAAGGGCTGCGCAAGAAAAGATAGCTTTCGCTTCGTTCTGGCTATGGCAATGGCGTAGACGGGTGATATTCAGGTTACGCGTGAAACATACCGAATGTCCCGCGCCCGCGTTCGGTTTGTTGTCGTCTATGTAAATATACAGAATTAGACCAATCGCGGGCCCGCGCCGACTCGCACCCGCGGTCTGTGAGTTTCACACTTTAGTATTCTATGCCTAATTTCAAATATTGTAATAATAATAATAATAATAATTAAATAGTTTATTAGTTTAAATAACAAATGGCTTACAAAATAAAGCCCGCCAAACTGCAATACAGTTTGTTGGCAGGGACACACTCTCATTAAATAATATGCCTCGACCCACTCATCATACACACACATCCGCATCCACTTATCGTACACACACACCACACATACTCATAAATACTAAACTACATACTGTTTAACCATTTGAGACTTGTAGCAACAATGTCTCCTTCACTTTCTTTTTAAACATCAGCTTCGATACATTACTTTCATCTATACTCAAATCATTATAGATGACCGGTACAAGATATTCCTTTGTTCTTTGACCGTAATAATTTATAATCCTAGGTACAATATACTTTTTATCAATAACAGCTCTAGTGGTATAAGAATGTTCATAATATTTTTTTAAATCATCCCTTCTGTACTCCTCCACTGCTATTAATAACTTGACCCTTTCATGAACCGGCAGCACCCTACACTTCGAGAACAATTCCACATAGTTTTTGTGACATTTTTCCTTTACATCCTTGTCAACCAACAATTTTAAAAACCTTATTTGCAGTTGCTTAATTTGGTCTAAATAAGATGTAAATGTGCGCCCATAACTACTAAGACCGTACGAGATAATAGAATCGGCTAGCGCATAATACACCATGTATAAAGTAGCCTTATCTACAATAAACTTAAGCTGAAAACATCTATTTAAAGATAGTCTAAGTTTCGAACATACATTTTCGACATGCAACTTCCATGAAAAATTATCATCAACTGTTAACCCCAAATATTTAAAATCCACTAATTCTATTTTGTTACAATTACAACTTATTTTTTTCTTGTGAAGACAATCATAAGAATGACCCAACACTGTAGGACTGTCAGAATATACTTTGCTATGGGGAGAATATACATGCATACATTTTGTTTTGCTATGATTTATAATTATACCATTATCATGAGACCATTTAACAATACTATCGAAATCTTCCTGAATCTTATATTCGATGTTTTTTAAATTGTTGTCAGCGTACACTAAACAGGTGTCGTCCGCATACATGTAAACCTTACAATGCTTAACTACATTACACATAGAATTAACGTGCATGCTATACCCTATCGGTCCGTATACTGAACCAGTCGGCACACCATAGGTAATGTTAAATATGTCATGTATATTGTATTATAATTACTACTCGAGTGTAGTAACCTGAAACATTTCTTAATATTTCACGGTAATTTACGCAAATAATAAATAAAAATTGCCACCGAAATTAGGCAGAGAAAGCTAACCTGAAAATTACCTAGACGTTATCAGTAAAAAAGACAAATACGAGTATATAGGGTATGCTCACTCTTTGGCTGCCAGTATTCCAAGTGCCTTGCTGCACGACACCAAACTGGCCCATACCAAGTTCTTTATTGATGGTAATATCCTCGACGGAAATAATATGTTTTGTAGGAACTTTCACATTGTTTTCTGTGAACGGCTGATAGTCTGCAGGTGTACAGCCATGTGCATGTGGGAACTAAAAATTAAAGACATTAAAGACATTACATAGTTAATACGAAATTACGAAAGCAAAAATAACCAAAAATTGGAACAGGCACAGTATATTTGCCTAAACTTGAAATCCCTCAAATTCTGAAAATTAATTAAAAATAAAAAGGAAGAAACATTTCTTCTAATAAAATAAACACGCATAATAAACATATCAAACATGTAGAACCAAATGTAGAAACCAAATACAAAGATACGACGCAGAAAAATTCGTGAGGTCCGCTGGTTCGTTCCTTGGATTAGTTGGTATAGCTGGCACAGTATGCTTGAAGACGTCGTCGGTTCGAATCCGGCCGGAACGAAGGAATTATTTCTGAGTGTTCGATCTTTGTATTAATAATTATAACAAACTAGTGGACTAATTTCACATAAAAATAATTGAATATCAATTCAATAATTTTTTTTTCTTTATCCTGTAAAGTTGTCAAAATTGAGACATCGGCAGTTCACAGTCGATTTGGCATTATTTGTTAAACAACGACCGAATGCTTAAATTCTATAATGAATGGCGCGTGAGACGTGAGTGCATCGCGAGATTATGTGAATGTGTGCTTCCATACATAGCGCGCGGTGGGCGTGCGCACATACACGAAACGCTCCTACGTTTGTATGGAGTTAGTCCTACTTGTCTAATTATATTATGGTTTTACTTTCTTGAAGTACATACTCTGCCTGTTCTGATTTACACTCTCACTAGACGCATTCATTATGAAATACAACTGTTAAAGTAATTAAAACGTTGGCCAACACCAGATAAGCGATGATCAATCCTTATAATGGTTAGATAATTCTCAGAAATGTTTAATTAATTTCATTGTTACTAAAAGTGTAACTCACTGCTTCATTTCTTTTGGAGCTCAGTAATTTCTTGATTTTAGAGATGTAAGGGTTAGGGAAATACTTTGTATAAATTTTTTTGTATCGCCTTTGCTCTGGTTTGGAAAGTCCAATCTGCACGAGATCCTCTGTAGCGACAAATTTCAGTTGTGACACTTTTGTTACTTTCAGGATGTCTCTGCAATAAAATATAGTTTCAGTTTTTATAGACAACACGAACATACGAACATCGTAGGTAGTAAAATGTTTGTTGCATATTGTCGCTTAGCAATTGTAGTATTACATAGCACTTAGCGCATAAAGAACTGACAGCGCAAAAAATACTTTCGTCTATTAAGAAAGATATATAATACGTAATTATTTGAACATAAAAAGCGACCAAGTGTATAAATAATAATATAATAATATTTATTTCATTCGTGTACACATACAGCAAAATTAATAACAATGGGTATATTACATAAAAACATAACTCATTTCACTGATTGTATGTACGTGCTACTTATATAGAATGTATGCCTCGCACACTTAAGATTCTGTATAAGATCTCTTCTTATTGATAATTCATTTCTAAGCAAATTTTTAAAACCCATGCAACTCCACTGACGATCGTATTTTTTGGTTCATTTAACTCAATACTTATTCTCCTATCCTCTGCCTTGAAATTTGTAACGGAGAAAGACGCCAAAGAAATAAAAAATCATATATTTAAAAAAAAAGAAAGTCCTTTTTTTTATTACCCATACCACTCATATGATACGATGATTATGTAAAGTACGTAAGAGGCGCATGATTAATATTTACACGTTTTGCCACAAGTTAGGCACAGGATCTCTGTTTCTCCAATACTGACTTGCTAAAATCACTTCCTCTGTCTGAAATTTACCTATGACATACACTTGGTCGCTACTCTGACATAACGTCATTTTACTTATGTAGAGTAAATAATATATAGATATAAACAGTGCGTCAAGAAAAACAATACGCTGACCTTAAGAATGATCTTGCCACAATTATTTTCTTTGTTTATGTGGTCTAAGCTATCGGCATTATCTAGGCGTCAAGTGTGCACTAGACAAAGTAGATTTTTTTTTAATAGAGTGGTTATGTGCAGTGATGGCTGCTAAAGTAGTAAGTTTTAAAACGTGTGCAAAAGGCAAATATAGTGTTAAACAAATGTGCAGCAATTTTTTTATAGGATACATAGTGACGAGACCAACAAATCGTGCGCTTGGTGGTAAGCGACACGCCTGTCCATAGCAGCTGCAGTACCACTCAAAGCTTTAAATCGAAAAGATCTGAAGGGTACTGCCACTCCGCCCGTCCACCCTGAGACGTAAGTTCACAAGTCCCATGTGCCTGTAATTTCACCAGCACGCTTACCCTTCAAAATCAAAATGCAATAATGGCCATATTACTGCTTGACAGCAGAAATAGGTATAGCAGTACTTCCCTGGACGAACTTTTTCACAAGGACCTCTACTGCTACTAAAATTCCGGTATTCTTCATTATTACACATAGTGAAAATGAGTATAAAACGTGTAACGTTCAATATAGCATGTGATTGCTGGAAAAACTAGTTTGTTTTAATTACATCTTAGCTAGTGAAACTAAAAAGAAGACGCTTAACAAAATCATAGTTTATTAGTAGGCTATCGCTCGTAGCGCCGGCGCAAGTTTAGTTAACAATAGTAATTAAATAATTGATAAATCATACTAATTTTGAGACAATCTACTGTGTTACCAACTGCAAAAGTCTTGAATGTAACTTAACGAAAATGAATGAAGTGGAGATACACTCACAAAAAAATTAGAAGACCAAAAATTCTAAAAAATATTTGGTCTGCTGACTACAAAAGATAAGACACCAGATAGAGAATATAGAAAAAGTTAGACGTCAAGTGAGAACTTTTGAAGAAGCCTTCATTGGATGAATGGAGAAGAAGAGAAAATAATTAGAACATTTTGATTCCTGATAAACTCCTTTGTGCTTGAACAATGTTCCATCAACACTATGTTTTCGCATTACTAAATGCTGTTTTTAGTCGAATTTTCCAAATTAAATTAAACTACTGTAGGATCATCTTACCTAATGACTGTTTTCACCTAATCTGGTTAACGCATGTTAGTCCCAGAGTGAATTTCGTATGCACATTAGAGGACATCAGTAGCGTAAGAAATGAAGAGGCGACTAATGATTATCAAGATAGCAAAGTTTGGACATGTGCTTCTTCAAATCAAAGTGTCCCGAGCGAGCTGTTATTTCTGCTAACACCAGAGCCTCTGTAAGGCTTAAGGCTGTAAGATTTACGAGAATTTGAAACTATGAAACTAAGCAGATGTTTGAGCAAATATCTGGTCAGTCGCCATTTTGTATCCGCTACTTTGGCAAAAATATTCAACAGGCAGTCAGGGGTCATGAGTCGGCCACTATAACATTTATTCAAGAAACCCCAACTATCTCCAATAGTTTCCTAGATGTTAGTGCGATGTTTCCAGGTAATTGTCATGTAGTTACCACTCAAATTCAAACAGTTACCATAAAAGTAACAAAAATCGTAAAATAGTTGGGTTTCCTTTACACAGTGCCAAAATTTGTAATTATTTCTATTCTTAGTACACATATTGAAGGACTAAAAATATAATTCAAATTTAGTCATACTCTATTATAGCAAAAACTGTACCAAAAAATAACTAAAAATGTTTAACTAATGTCAGTACCTAACTCCCTACACACATCCCTAAAAATCACCATTGTGATTTGTAGATGCACATAGGCCTGCCTATGTGCTTACCTTATTATTTACAGTGCTAAACAAAGCCTAAAGAATCTCAATCACTCTCTAAAACATCATAAATCTGTAAAGAAAAGTCTATGAAAATTCAGCCAGCAATTTATTATAACAAAGACTAAAAAAATATTGTGTACTCTATTATATACATTTCCAGTAAATAGTGCACTAATATGCTTTAATTTGTGGCTCAGCACCAAACTTATGAGTGATTGCCAACAAGCCCCCTCTGCGGACACCTGTATTCACCGTTACAAAATTATATATGAGAAACCTTTAAAATTTTAGCAAACCCTTAACAGCTACCTAAAGGATATTTATGTATTAAGATAATCAAAAATGTATGACAGTTTTATTTGATCACCTAAAACTGACTTTTTACATATGACTTAAAAACCACACCTTGCGTTTTGATTTATGAGATTATACAAAAATTATAAATAAAGAAACCATTTATTACATTATTTTACAATTCTTATTCAAATGTAACCATTTTATTTCTTTATTGGCTTCAAAAAAGCTTCAGGAAATAGACCTGAGATTATTATGTATATATTTTTTAGATAACATTGTTTTATGAGATGTTCAATTATAAACCAAAGAGCAATTAATGCTTCTTCAAACAAACTTTACCAACACGATCCAACTAATAAGTCTGCATAATGAGAACATATTCCATTCAAGGAATGTGGCTTAACATTACTACATAACGGACATACCTATTAACTTACGTAAAACATGTCATAATGAATGTTCAATTTCAACCTACATAATTATTATAACATCTAAAGGCACAATTTACACCTCAGCAAAATCTGTTAACACACCCACACAATCAAGTATGTAAGCGTAAGCTGCGAGCATTTAACTGTGCGTTTTCTAAATATAAACAGTAGTTGTGGCGTCAAGTAAACAATATCAGAACACAAAAAGAAACAGCCCGGAAATACAGTCTTATGAAACAAAAGGAGTAAAATCCACATCAACATACCTGAATAAATCATAGTACTGTTGAAGTTCTGCCTCTTCAAGGAATTCTTTCAAACCATCTAACATATTGTCTGAAAAAGAAACACAATACCCAGGATCTGAAAAAGTGTATTAAAATCACCGGTTCTTAGACTAAAATAAACTTATAACACTATTGTTTGTTACTAACCCATTTTAACAACTGCGCTATAGTTTACATTTATGCCAATTATTCAATAAACTAATTAAAAATAAAATTTCTGAAAATTAAAACAAATGTGCCACTTTTAGTCTGATGCATGTAAACGTATACGTACGTAGATATAATATAAACCAAATGCTTAGACGACTGAATTGACCACAGACCATATAGGATGAAAAAAAAGTTTACGCCACAGACTAATTTTCAGTTGACTGACTGCTGGTGCTGCCGACGATGGTGATGCGTTCCTTTCTTTCTAAAATTTTGTTTTGGCTTTTCTCAACGAGCGTTTTAAACCCTGACTGATAAGTTATAAATTGTTATAAAGTTATTCAAAGTGAAGGCATTATAGTGCGGCCGATATAATATAGTATTTTAAAGTTATTTATAAACTTAAACCTTATTTTAAAACTTTACTCAATGCTCAAGTCAGGATTTGATTATGATTTCAAACACTGGAAATACGACCCTAATGGCAAGGACTTCTAGTATGATTTCTAGTGTTTTAAAACATACTCAAGTCCTGATTTAAGCATTGAGTAGAGTTCTGGAATACTACCCTTAGTCCGTGGTCATATTGAACAACATCTTATCTGTAAAATAACAGTTGGAATGAAAATGTAAGGTACCTAATTTGAATGCAGTCCAAAACCATCGCTACGGGAAATAATCCTCATTACATATTCCACAATAGTTCTGTTTTTTCACACTTTCCGGTTCAATATATATAACAGCCCTCGTAGCATGCCGCCGCTATAAACTATTATATCCACATTTAGCTGTCAAATTCGAATGATAAACGGGTCGGCATTTGAAAGTTATATTACAATAACTAACATAGCGAGTATCGTGAAGTCATATTTTTGTCGCATCGGAAGCGTCGCGACTGGAAGGTATCGCAGTGCCAAACATGGCCCCAAGGTCACAGTTGATTTTAAAACATGTTGACATTGCTGTACAGTAATTTTATCGGCGTAAGTCAATTGAGCGCGACAAATGAAATAAATTATAATAGTAAAAATTGAAAGAAATTGATATATATAAATTATTGAAAAAAGGTGACGAAAACATTTTTAATACAGTTCAATACGTGAGAGTAATTAAAAATACGTGAATACGTAATAACTAATATAATGTTAATTTGTTTTTGTACAGAATAAGTTTATCTTTATCTTTAATGTAAAATATGTAAAGAATGAAACAAAATATAAAGAATGAAATGGCGAGCTGAAGGCTCATAACTCGTAAAATTAACTTAAAGCTAAGTAGCGGGTCTGAGGGCGCCCAAGTGGGCACGGACCTCGGCGCAGGGCGCTGCTGAAGACTACCGCCGAAAGGGCGTGCTAAAGGACAGAATCTACCAGCGTACGTGCTAAAATGAGGGACTCTACGTCCTCGCCGGCGGCGGCGAGGACAGTCGGTGCGTGTGGAGATGGAGGATTGATGTGTGAAAGTGGCGAGACGAGTGGAGAGAGAGATAGAGTCGTCAGTCGGATGCAGCCACCACGAGGGGGTTGGGGTGGTGAGGAACAGAGTCGAAGTATTTCCTCGATGCCTATTTCATGAATTGGAGCCGTAAATCTATATGGAGGTTAGCGTTGCGCAGGTACCACGGGGCACCCATCGCATTGCACATGAATCAATTTGGGAGAGCCTGCAGGCGATATATAAGCGCGGGATTTGCCTGAGCGAATGCGACTCTGGCGTACGTCATGTTTGGGCGGATGCAGGTTGTGTACTATCTCACCTTACTCGTATTACGAAGAGAGAGTTTGCTATGCTTGTTGAGAAGGGGGTGGAGGCGGCTCAAAACAAAGTGGACGCGATCGGGGACGGTTCTCACGTGTGCTTTGAATGACAGCTTCCTATCGAGCGTAACTCTTAAGTATTTGACCGTGCTCACCCAAGGGATTAGGCGACCAAAGAGCGAAATCGGGGTGAGGTGTTGTACCCTACGACTGGATAGGTTATTTCGCTTGAATACCGCCGCGCTTTTGTCGGGATTGACTTCGAGTCTCCATCTGCGAAACCACTCGCTTAGGCGTGTGGTGGCAGATTGGAGAGCTGCGGAAACTAATTTGGAGCTGCGCGCCGAATAATAAAGCGCAGTGTCGTCAAAGAGGGCGAGATTTACTGACTGATACTTCGGGATATCGCTAGTGTACAGGGAGAATAGGAGGGGCGAGAGGACAGAGCCTTGCGGGACTCCAGCTCTAATGGGATGAGGAGAGGAGATTGCGCCCTCAACTCGGTAGCGGAAAGAGTGATTCGATAAGAAGTCTCGAATGATGTGCATGAGAGGATTAGGTACGCCGAGATTGTACAGCTTGTAAAGTAAGCCGTTGTGCCAGACTTGGTCGCAGGCTTTTGCCAGATCGTAGAAGAGGACGCCGCCGCCGGTGGGCATAAAGCGGGGGCGATCGAAACCTTCCTAGATATGCTGCACTATCCGGTGCACTTGCTAAACGCATGAGTGCCTAGCTCTAAAGCCAAACTGTTTGACGGGGAGGAGATTTTGGGACATGACGTAATCTCTGAGGCGGGCGTAGAGGATGTGCTCATAGAGTTTGCCCATGGTGTTAAGCAGGGAAGCCGAATATTCGTAAATAAAAAAATTGTATGAGCGCTTGTGCTGAAACGTCGGTGGACTCAGCAGTAGGCACTTATCGCTTAACCTTGAGCGAGTGATGGAGCCCTGCCTCTGTTGCTGCTGCGTATAATGAATTGTCTTACATGTCACGTAAGTGATAGGCTTACCATAAAAGAAAATGTTAATTTTCCTGGAAATAATTACATTCTCTAAAATAAAAATAATTCACAGTTGCCAGTTTAATGTAAATACACTTGGTTTAAATATTTTTATTTCTTGACATTGTCCCTGTCAATCGTAGCTTTTCGTTATCAAACCAATCGTAGTTCATACCAATTAGTAATACTGGTACTGGTTCTGGTAACACTGGTACCTACTTTGCAAATATGGCGTAAGATTCTACAAAATGCAGTGGGAGTTAATTTGTTGTACTTGTCAATTCTGAAATTTAACAAAAAGACATGTTGTTATTATAAGACTTTTGCAGCATTAAAAGTGATAAAGCGAAGTTCAAAGTGAATTGTGTTTTTCGCGCTATGTAGGTATAATATCAGATTATAAGAGGTATAATATAAAAATTAAATCAAAAATATTTATAAGTCTACATTTGTAACAATAATTCGATTGTTTTCATAGATCTCATATGTTTACCTTTTTTATTTGACATCTATTCCTAAAAAATAATTTTAACGTTTGTTTACATAATTTTTGCAGTTTTGTCAAGACAGATTTTTAAAGCGTTTACGGTTGTAAATTGTAACTCTAATGTTTTGAATACATGAAACAGTATTTTATATTAATTTTTAAGTAAGGTTTATGAATGTATATCGTTATTACTGTATTAAGAAAAGGGCAAGTCGGTTTGCATTTTAAAATTTAAGAAGTGCTAAATTGATTCCCCAGTTAATATTTATTGTAAGGACTGTAATAAAGAGCACTCGAAGAAAGAAGACGCTTACGAAGACCAACATGTCACAGGTGAGTGTTAAATTCCACTTTTTGCTGTTATAACTAGAAAGTAATAATGTATTTCAACTTATATTATGTAAACTTTTACCATACACCAATGAGAGCAACCGGTAGTGTTATTTATAAAATAATGATAATAGATGATCGCCATTTAATTGCACCAACATCGCACATTAATTTAGAAATTATTTATTGATAATAATAATAATAATAATAATAATAATAATAATAATAATAATAATAATAATAATAATGCATACTTTAGGAAAAACCCTGTGTCGCGGGTGCCATGGACACACACATAGACAACCACAAATTATACACAAACTCAAGAGATAAATGAATGTAGGTCATACAAATATTTCTGCCGGCCCGGGAATCGAACGTGGGACCTCTGCGTGGCAGTCCAACATGGTAACCATTTGGCCACAAAGGCAGTTAATTGATATGCTCTTTCTAACCACTCATACTTAGCTTGTATCCACTCATACAATGTCCATAATAATTATTATTTATCAATTTAATCATTGCAGTTGATAACTAAATGAATACTTGGATTTGATTGTTCAATGGTTACAAATCCGTTTAAGTTCAGTTTTGTATTTTTATTTTGTTAATAATTGGGTAAGTATGATATAATTCCTTCTGCATGATTTAAATGTGACATGTCAATCATTGTACCTAATGATTTTTAGAGGAGGTATTTTATTTTTTACAGGTTTATGTTTACATAAAACAGATTGTATTCACAATGCAAAACTGGGAATTTATTTTAATTTTAATCAGACTGTTTATGAGATGATGTGCTGAAAACATATAATTATGAATTACATGCTGTACTGTGTACAAAATCTGAATTATAAATAGATTTTTTAAATTTTATTTTATTATTAACTAAATTTTATTACAATATTTTGAAACAAACTTGGTAAAAATCTATCCAAATTTGTGTTCTCAGCGATGCAAAAGTTCTAAACTGTGCTTCAGCTTCTTTGTAACTAAACTTGAAAGTATTATAGTAACCAGCTACAAATGCTGTAAAAACATTCCAATTTATGTTACATTACGTTTTACAAATTATTTTATATAAACAATATGAATTATTTGTGAATTAAATTTTATTATTAATTACTAATGGTAATTAGAATAAATTAAAAATATCAATTAGTACTGAAATAAGACTGCATCTGCTTGGGTTTTTTCATCAGAGAAAGAAATACTCGATCCCAAACTGGTGGTATGGAGAAACCATATTCCCACCTCTCACAGTATCCTGGGTAGATAATGGACTTCTTTTGCAAAGACCTGGAGTTTGTCGTACTTAATTGAGTAACTTAACTTTACTATCTCGGTC